CATAGTAATTACATAAATTGCAAAAAAGTGCAATAAACTACAAAAAAAATTGAAAATCGTTTTTGCTTTTTTAACATATATTTGTAGTTAGAGAAATTTAAGAGGCTTATCCCTCAAAACTGTAAATACAAAAAAGTTGCACAAAATAGTTTCCCACCACAGGAAATTTATTTTGAGTGTCATCATCTGCATCAAAATAAACTATTTCCAGAAGTGCAATATGAGTCCTAAGCATCCCAGAAACGACACAGAAAGTCATAAAGTCAAAGATAACTTTTAAAAAGACGAGTATAGGCCCTGAGGCCCTGATAGTAAAAAAGACTACATTTCCGCGAAAATGACGTCACTTCCGGTTTCGGGCAGGTAATGGCGGAAATGCAAAAGTTCGCGCTGACGTCTATTCCAACGTAGGAAGTGTTATGACCAGCTGATTGGATCGGTAAAGTGTGTTTCTGGAATATTATGTTTTTGTTCCTGCAAGCGCTTTTTATGCAGTTTTTGCAAAGCTTTATGTGGAAGGAAACCGTGACCTAGGACAAGCTGATGGCATAAGATGTAAGTACAACTCCTCCGGTTTCATATGCAAAAAAAATTTTTGCGCTAGCTTATGTGGTTGCAGTGCTACCGGGATTTAAAAATAGTTACTTAAAACAGAGCGTGCCCGCTCCGATCGGCTGTAAAGGGTTAATGAATCAAAATTGGACTTATCTGACTTTTTTTTTTTTCGCTTAATGCGCCTTATAATCCAGTGCACCTTATAGTCCGAAAAATACGGTACTCAGAATCCAGAGGGACAAACTGTGTTGTGAGACATCCTGTCGGACTGAACAAAGAGATTCATGTCCTGTCAGAAACAACTTCCTGTGTCATTATGTGAGAAAACTTCATCATCAATAAAACAAGCTTCAAGAGCAGTGAAAGAATATGGTGCAAAAGTCAACAACTTCTAAATAACAGAAAGTTTACTACAGTATATCAACCTTCTGTGCTTCACTCATGCACATTTACACATGAATAATTTAAAAGATAGAACTGCAAGGTCATAAACATTTGTTCATGGAGTTTAGAGAGGAATGGTCCTTTAAAGGTGAGAGTTTTGCTTCTTCTGAGGTCTGAGTTGACTCCTGCCTCTCCTCAGAGACTTTGACTCTCTGGACGAGTCGTCAGTGGAAGAAAACACTCGACTCGGCTTTGATGTGGCTGAACGAGAGTTTGGGATTTCTCCATTGATGACGGTGGAGGAAATGTCGTCTGTGGAAGAGCCGGACTCTCTGTCGATGGTCATGTACCTGAGCCAGTTTTACCAACTGCTCAAAGACTCGCCGCCCCCTATGGGTGAGGCTGCAAACTGCTCCCGATCAGCCATTCTACTGGAAAAGGGCTGATAAAAAAGACATGGTAATCCAACATGTTTGTTTCAGGCTGCCTGAGGCACATCACTGACCTGCGATCAGCTCTCATCGCTCCTGCCTCCCTCCTCAGCCGACTGGGAACCAGTTTGTCCAGGAAGAGAAACCCAAAGGTAGCGTAGTTCCACCTCCTCATACCTGCAGTCATCTGTGTGAAATTAAAGATAATAATTTGTGGTATCTGCAGGAGCATGGGGGGGCATTGGGTAAAAAGAGGAAGACCAGTCAGCGGAGTCGAGAGCAGCAGGAGGTCAGTGTCCACACTTCACTTCAAACTCAGCTCATGTTAAATTATTCAGATCTTCAACCAGAACCAGACATTGAAGGACAGAGAGCGTTAGACATTCAGATTGGAGATGGTGAGTGGTCCGGCTGTCCGGCCATTTTCTTCGTCTTATGTAGTTCAGGGTCGGGTTCAGATGAAGACTTTTCTTTAATTCATCAAGACTCACAACTGAAGACAAAAGCTTCTTTTTCACTCTGATGACCCTTTTCAGTCTCTGTACGCCATGTGACTCAGGTGGAGATGGAGAAGCTTCCATCACCAGGGCCTGAGCTGGCCACTCTTTCTCTCTTCAGTCTGGACTGATGGATGCGGCCTCTTTGCTCATTTACACACCACACCACTGACGGCGAGGATGCCATAAAGCTGACACCAGCACAGTGTCAGGGCCAAAGGTGGAGCCGCTGATGTCACTGTCTGTGGGAGAAGCCACCTCAGGAAACTCACTACTGTTTGGCAACTGACTTTCCTCTGATGACTATGACCTGATTTTTTTTAATGGATATTTTGTTTTGCAGTCATGTGACCTGAATGGTGATGTTGAGAGCCAGTCACTTGAGGAGGAGTTTGTGGGTGGGGCCAGTCGGACCAGAGTTCGTTTGATGGCCAATCAGCTACAGGCAAAGCTGCATGAAAGTTCATCTACCTGCAGGACATCTTCTTCTGCTGCTGCTGATTTCCGTCGACAAGTGAGAGCGTGCTGATTTCTGATCAATCATATTGATTTCTGATGGCCAAATAGGGGTTGTGGACATGATGTGTGTACTATTAATGTTTCTATAAACGCAAACACCCTGTGTTAACCAGCAGGGGGAGCTATCCAGCCTCCCTCCAGCCTCCCAACCAGCAGAAAGTCAGCCGACTGCATCTCCAGTTCACTTGTCATCATGGAGGCCGGTAAAGACCAGTAGAAGCCAGTAGAGACAGATGAGACATGTTGGAGTACTGATAAACTACATTTTCACTTTAAAGACTCATTTAAGAGGATGCAGGTGGCTGGATGGTTAAAATAAATAGATAATTTCTCTTTTTGCTGTTTGTTGATACTTCTGAGATCCTCATGTGAATCACACAGATGTTAGTTTGGTTTGTGAGAAGTTTCTTTCTCATGGATTCATGTGCTGGACTACGATGTAACTACGAACCAAATTGAGTTTTCGGTTTGAATTGAGACCCTTTAAAGAGGATTTCTCTATGGTGTGCGGTAGACATCACCGGTTCAGGTTTTGGTTCTAGCCTCCTGCATCGTCACAGTTTCTGCAGAGTCCAGACTGCAGATGGAATAACGTCTGCTGTCTCTACCAGAAAAAACGAACTCTTCAGCAGGAGCAGATGAGTTTTCGATTCAAACAGAAGCTCAAGGCTCAGGCAGTTCTCGATGGGGACGAACAGGTGCCTGAGCAAGTACCTGAACAGGTATCTCTGATGGGTTTTGGTGTGTTTGTGTGCTGAACGTATACCCCTCCTCCCGTAGTGCTCTGGTTTGTTCGGGCCTCGATGTCCCCCGGCTGCACTCGTGCTCGTCAGCCTGAACATCCTCAGTGGATCGTTGAGTCCTGCAGGGCTGTACCGATCGCCTGCTTCATGTGATCAATAACAAAGTGAGGCTCATGAATGGCTCCTATTGAGCAGAGGAGCTGTTCTCAGATCAGCCTGCAGCTCTGATGTGTTTGCTGACTGAGCACTTTGTGCGGCTGGACTTTCCCTCCATCTGCCGCTGTGTTTTCAACCAGCATCACAAGCAGGGTTTATTTTCCTCTCCTCTGGCTGCCCCATCGCTGAAAACAAGTTAGATCTCCTTGAAGATTCACCTGGTCCTGAACGGTATGGTGTCCCACAGCTCAGATGTATCGTGGCCATAAACCCTGATCAGGGTGAAGAAGCTGGAGTTACTGTCATGCCTCAGATGTTGCTGCCAGCTTTGATATAAAACTAACCCCAATATTTCACTCCAAAGAGTACAAACACAAAGACACTAAATAAATCCTGGAGACGTGGAGAACTAATCAGATGAGATGGTATCGGGTCACATGTGAAAATTCCTGCTTAAACACCATAACGCTGAACGTGATGCTGGTAAAAAGCACTTGATATCCTATCACTCTCAGTGGTGGATCAAGGGCCTCATTTATAACAACTGCATAGTGTAAATCTAAAGGGGTCTCTACCGGTGTTAGTTTCTTCACACTAGGGTGTGTGGATCAAAAAACAAACTTTTGGAAACAGAAGTTACTTCCACACCAGCATCTTCCTTCCCTTCTTTAACAGTCTCACCCTCACATTTCCTTCCCTTACCCTAACCCTGACCCTGACCCTTGGGTCATGGTCAGCTAAGGTTGTTTTCACACCTGCAGTGTTTAGTCAGTTTAAATCAACCTCTGGTTTATTCAGCCTGTCTGCACAGTTTGTTTGTGCAGGTGTGAACACAGTAATTGCACTCGAGTGCAAAACAAAACAACCGAACCAGCTACCAAGTGTATGTTACAAGTTTGAGCTAAATATCATCCTGTACAAACATATGTATTCTCAGTGCAGGAAAGTGCTATAGACGTGCAAAGGTCTGTACAGGCTAGCAGCTACCATGAATGTCTCAGAGTTCTATGAGCAGACTGAAGTGAAACAAAACAAAGCAAAACTACAAGTTTTAAACTCATCAGCTGAGTCGGACCAGAGGACACGAGCTACAGGTGTGAAAACGTCCTTTGAGGCAGATGATGTCAGGGTTCAGGTCTCGCCGTCTTTCCTGGATATTAAAAGTGAATATATGGAGTTCATTTTCAGCTCACTGCACAGGTTAACTGCAGATGAAAAGATATGGTTCATAAATGAGGCCCATGGTCTGTGAGGCCCATGGTCTGTGGCTGTAATGTGTCTGTCTGTCTGTCTGTCTGATCAAAGTGCCTTCAAATGTACACGGGTGGCGTGAGCTCACTGGCTGAGCAGATAACCAGTCGTATGCAGAGTCAGGAGGACGGTGGTGGGGTAAGACTGCTTCAGTATTCTGCGCCTTGTTCCCTTCGGCTCTTTGACTTTGTTTCAATCAGCTGAAGTGAAGAAGATGTTGTGATAAATCAGCTGATAACTCTGCCCAACTGATGATGGAATTCAGTTTGCTGAGACTTCTTTTCCTCGTTTCTTTTTTCTTGTGGTTTCTTCATTTCTTTCATTCTTCATGTCCTAATGTCTCCTTTCTTTTAGCTTTTTAGTCTGTCACCTTTCCTTCCATCCCAGCCTTGTTTCCTTTCCTCCACTTTCACTTCCTTTCCTTTAACCTTTCCTCCATCTGTTGCTGTGTGTGTTCCCGCAGGTCTCTGCCAGCTGCAGTCACGTCTGTTTCTTCTGTAAGCAGAGGGTTTATGTGATGGAGCGTCTCAGTGCAGAGGGCTTGTTCTTCCATCGCAGCTGCTTCCAGTGTGGTTCCTGCAGCAGTCCCCTCCGCCTGGCCTCGTACACATATGACCAGCACACCAGTCAGTAAACTCACACCCCCCTCCTCCACCCTTCTCTGCTGTTGGGGTTTAGGTTTTAACAGGTTTCCATGTTCAGCAGGAAAAAGGAGAGGTGTTCACTCTCCTTCTGTGAGGACAAACAATGACCTCACAGTCATGAAACACATTTTTAGAGTCTCCCTGAGCAGGTCATCGCCATTGACCCTCAGAATAAACCTCCAGTTTGACCCTGACCTCCAGGAGATAAAACAGATGTCTGACTTTGAGATGAGACCATAAGAGACAGAGTTGATATGGACTTTCTCAACCCACACACTGAAAAACTTCTATTGATGGCCCTGGTGTCAGGGTGATGACATCACAAACAGGGTTGTGGCAGTGACAGAACGTTAGATTAAACCTGAGTGACAGAGCTGAACTCATCGGTCTCATTCCTGAGGCGTGGTATCAGACGATATCAGACTCATGACTAAGTGGAGGATAAAGCCTCTCTGTGTCCAGGACACAGATAAATAAAGTTCACAGTCGAATCTGTAGCTTCATTAGACAATGAGCAACAAAAACAGGGAGCAGTGTGACATCAAATAAAAAGATCCAATCAGAAACCAGAGAAGAAAAGATAAAACGGCCTCATTTGCAGATAAATTTGTTTGTTTTTGAAGAGCGTTAATGTGTGTGGGGGGGACCTGTGTCAGTCTCCGCAGTATATTTGGATCTTTGGGGATAAAAATGGAAACGGCCTCATAAACGGGCAGCTTGATGCAGAGAACAGTGCTGCGTTGTTCAGCAGTCAGCAGTTCTCTGCAGACTCAAACATCGGCCTGTGGGCCAGATCTGGCCTCCCGATGAAGATCTGTAACCGTACCATGAGCTCAAGTTTTGCTCTCACCAGAGGCGGAGCCAGACATTTGAAACACCTGGGGCTTAGCCCTAAAGGGTGGTATGCATGTGGGATTTTTTTTATTTATTTTTTTTTGGGGGGGGAGAAATGACTGAAAGATTAATAGGCTCTGTTTTGAGTTTTGTTCAAAAAAGAATGACTTCATATAGGGAAAAATATATATCACATATGCAGGACACCTTAAACTAGTTTTTTAATTAAGCAGCAAGGCAGAACAAAGTCAGGGCTGTATCAAGACACGAGGACTAAACCCCAATTCAACCAGACCCAGAACTGATCCGGAATTAAAACAGGACTACAACAGTTCAAAATCAGGACTACTGAGGACTTAACCAAGACAGAACCAGAATCAGAACTAGATGATAGTAGCACTAAAAATCATCATAGACCTGCACTACACTTATTTTTTAATTCTACCAAAGTCCACTATTTAGATTGAGAAAAGTTTATATAATTATTTAGCCTTGTTGTGCAAACAAGCCTGCATAACTTAATAAATATAGAATTTGAAAAATAACAAACCTAAAAAGAAACACTAGGTACGAGATACATGAGGACCTATGATACGGTGATACTTTTGGTAAACAACCATTTGACTAACATGTGTGTCTCACCTGCTCTTGTTCATCTCTGTTCTGTCCTCATTCTCCATCTCCCTCTCTGTTCCTCTCTCTCCCTCTTTGTGCTGACAATCATCAAATATACAGTTGAAACCAGATATTTACAAACTCTTCAGATAAAAACACTTTTTTAATTGTAACATCAAATCAGACTAAATGTTTATTTTTTAGATTGATAAATATAAAAAACATATTTGTTAACTTTAAGAGTAAAGAGAGAAACTATCTGTATTTCTTAATTGTAAATGGCACCAAATTGTATTCAAACTGAGCCACACTTATGGAGCTCCACAGTTCTTTTCCTGGTGTTTTGGTTGACATCTCTTGATTTTCCCATGTCAAAGAAACAGGCTCTGTGTTTTGCCTTATATGCATCCACAGCTGTGCCACCAATTTACTCACATGGACTCTACTAACCTATCAGAAGCTTCTTCAGCTCAGAATGGAATCGTCTGGAGTTTTCTTATTAATTAACAATAAACTTAGTGTATATGTACTCCTAAATTTGATGAAAGTGATAAAAAATAGACAGCTCTGTCTCTCTTTATTCTGACATTTAACTAATTCAAAAGATATTTCAATATTTATCTAAAACAAAAGTTTACTCTAAATTGATGTTGTACAGTAAAAATGTTTTATGTTTTCTCCCTAAAGTGTAAATATCTGGTTACAAATGTGAATATCCTGCTGTGTACTGAAATCCCTCTTGTTTTGCATAGAAATATACTGAACAACATACAAAGCATAATATATAAAATAACATTTACCTGAGTTTTTTCTTTGAAAGAAGCCTCTAATGTCCATTCTTATATTTCAGTACATAACTGAAACCGATTTAGTCGGGGAGGGTAAGAACTGAAAATATGAAATAAACACACGTAAGCTAAGACTCTCTAAAGAAACAGCATTGTTGTTGTTCGGCTTTTCATTTCGCCATTTGTTGATTCACTTGAAGAGCAAGTAACGTAATATGGGTCAAGTGATCAGTTTGATATCAATCTTTCGTGATCACCGTCATATTTACATTATTTGTACGGTACGAATGATTTGCTTTGGTACCTGGCTCAAACTTAAGCTCTCCTTAGTATGGCTGGCTCCGTTTCTCCAACAGCGCACTCACAGGCAGCAGCTGCCCCGCCCCCTCGCTCAGTCGCTTAGTGCCTGAGCTCGGATCATACCAATATCAGGGGGATTCACGCACAGTCGTAAATAATCCTCTCCCACAGTGTGCACTATGTGCTTCGAATATTGTGTGTACTTTTTGTTTTATACAGTTGTCAGCCAGGCATCTAACTATGAAAAATTACCCTCCTAAAAGACCCCGGGCTTCTGACAAAACAACCCGGGCTTAAGCCCAGTAAGCCACCCTCACGCTCCGCCCCTGGCTCTCACAGTCTGAATGTGTTTTCATGTGGACTACCTACTTGGACCCAGACTCACCTGAGACTCGGTCCATAAACGTGTACGGAAGGGTAACAGGTGGTTCTCCCGTGGCTGTGGGTGGAAGAAGGACCCCCTGAGTGTCTGAGTGAATGAACAGCTGATGAAGCCCAGACCCCCTGCTGTGCGTCAGGCCACCTGTAGTTTGAAGTCATTTTATTTGCAAGATAGATTTCATAAATGAAAAAGCAACAGAAACCTTCAGAGACATAGGTCTGCCCTCACCTCCGTACTTCTGTAACTCGTTAGCAGACTCATAATCGTGTATCAAAAAACAATCTGATTAGTGTCTGAGTCTCAGATCTGCCGATTCATGAGTGGGGAGAAAATGTTTGACCCCAGCAACACACAACCTGCCCTGCAGACTCGCTCTGATTTTTCTGCCCATCACTGCAGTACTCTGATTACTGTCAGGTGGTGGTGTCATGTGATCAGAGCCCCGAGCCTCGCCGCCACACGTTTCCACACCACATTTTTAACCACACAAAATGTCTATTGTGGGTCTGACAGCTGAATTCTGCAGCTCAGCAGCCAATGAGAGCACAGTGATCACATGACCGATGAGTTTGAAGTCGAGGCGGGAGTCGGTGTGAAGGTTGCTATAAAAACATAAATTTTGGGAAGCCTTCAGAGACGAGGGCTGCAAGATACGCTCCACATCTCTCTGTGTGAGATACCTGTGTGTGTGAGACACACACCTGTCCTGACATCCTGTCTGTCGTCCTCTGTGTCTCAGGGAGGTTTTACTGCATGCAACGCTCCGAATGTCACCTAAGTGCTCAAGCCGTGAGGAAGAGGCCCACGCCATCTGACAGAGCTACGTCACACCGAACGTCAATCGTAAGAACCACTTTTACTTTCATTGTGATATTATCTGTGTGCACCTGACCTGCAGGTGTGGGCAATTTATTAGTTCAAGTCCTGGAAGGTAGAACAGGTCATCAGATGCTCTTTAGGTGGTAATTTTAGTTGGAGGTCAGGGTGGTGGTGGTGGTGTTGTGTGCCTGGACCTTGAATGGAGTTCTGACAGGAGCAGCTACCTGCCTGTGGAACCGATCAGTTCAGGTGTTTCTGTTCACGGCAGGTAAGCTGTTCAGGATCATCACTGTTTAGCGAGTCAGTACGGAAGATCGATCATGCCAGAAATGTTCAGTTCAAAAATAATAAAAACACACATTAACAGAAGAAATAATGACAAAAGGAAAACTAGACCTTTCTTCAATCACCTGTATAAGTTTTTTTCAACCTTTAAATCCTAAATAGCAAATATTTCGCCTTTGAAAAATAAAGATAATGATTCTAATAATGATTTAATAAAGTTCATCTGCTAAACTCATTTTAGAAAAAGAATGTGAAAAAAACTATTTTTGTAAATTTAATTTAGAATCAGAGTTACTGAAAACTTTGAGTTTTAGAGTTGGAATAATTACAGGACTAATAAATAAACGCATATCTTTGTCTTTGAAGGGGTCCCAGAGCTCGGCGCCATCTCTGTCTGACTCTCTGATCTCAGCAGGCCGCCGACCATCCTCAGGTGAGCTAGCTTCACCTGTGTGTGTGCTTTCAGTGTCCATACGTGTTCACACTGAGCGCGCTCCTTAAACAGGAATCGATGTGGGCTTTAGTGTGTCTGTGTGTCTGTGTGTGTCTGTGTGTGTGTGCGGCTGCGTTGGTGTGTTGGCAGCTGCTTCTCTAATGGCGGCGACGCCGGAGAGGATCGAGCTGGAAATCTGGCACCGGTGCTCAGAGGTGGAGCTACAGGAGGAGCTGAAGGAGGTTTCCGAGGAGGTCCTGAACCTATTCAACCTGAGCACCGACAATCATACAGGGTCCAGGTCCAGAAGGTCGGTATCCTCAGGAAATAGAAAAAAACAGCCTTGGCTTTAATAATGCTTCAGCCTTTCTGCTGAATGCTGGGAATCACCGCTCCATACGGGGGTCAGTAAACATGTCTTGTATGTAAAGAGCTGGAGGTCACACACGTTTTACTGTAAAAACTTCAATATGAAATATTTTGTGGTGTGAAAAGTACGAATTAATAAAGAAACTTAAATGTTTACATCAAAATAAAGATTACAATAAAAGGGAAGTTGTTTTTAAAAAATTTATGTTATATTTGTGTATTTAGACCCCACAAAATTTTAAATGTTTGTAGGATTTTTTTTTTAATTGTTTTGACTTTTGAATTTAAAATGTTGCCTTTTTAAAAAAAAATTCTAGTCTAATCTGTAAATATTTAATCAATCTAGCTATGGCTCTAATTTTTTTAATCATTGTGGCTGTGCTTCACCAAACAAACTAAATTCACTTTAGTTTGTTTGGTTGGCAGTGTTGGTCCTCCATCCCAACTGTTTTATGTTTCCTGTTTTCAGTTCAGAGTCAGATATGGAGGAGGAGGCAGAGGGAGGAGGCTGTGTAACCTCAGACGAGACGAGATCTTCATCGAGAGAAACGCTGCAGCTTTACCTGAAAGTCCAGGAGGAGGAGGAGGAGGAGGAGGAAGGCAGTGGTATGGAGTCCAGCGATGGTGAGTTAAAGTCTTTGTGAGTTTTTGGGTGTGAAGTAGGGGTCTTGAGTTTGAGATGTGCTGTTGTCTGTCTCCCCCTGCTGGTAGAGGGGGAGTACGACCCCTGGGAGATGGAGCGCCGTTCGGGCTTATGGCTCCTGTTAGAGGAGGAGACAGGTAGCACCTACCTGAACCTGCTAACCAAACTCCTTTTATAAAACCTCAGATTTTAGAATAACCACCGTGTTTAACATGAATGTTTAACTCTGTGCGTGTGTGTGTGTGTGTGTGTGTGTGTGTGTGTGTGTGTGTGTGAGTAACAACAGCAAAATTTTTATTCTAATTTCATTAAAAATGGAATGAAAGGACAGCAGTGCTCCATGCAGTTACAATTAAAAAGAATGAATGAAAGACAGCAGTGCTCCATGCAAGGATCAGAGGACCGGGGACAGGAAGTTATTAAAACTCAAACACTGACCTGATGAGTGTGTGACACAACAAGTTCAAAGAGCACTCACTTTCGTGGGAGTTCAGCTGCTGCTTCTAAAGCCGTCGTTTCTAATCTTTACTCTCGCTGCCTCACATTCATTTCACATCAATAAAACAGCTTATGATGAGTTGGTGTGTAGTGTGTGTGATGTGTTTGGGGTGTGTGTGTGTGCAGTGTGTGTGTGTGTGTGTCTGGTGCTGTGTGTGTGTGTGTACCAGAGGCGGAGCTTGCTCCTTACAGCTCTGACACACCTGTTCAGCCTGACTCCACCTCTTCCATGAACTCATCTGTGACTCCACACCCTGTCACCACCACCGCCAGCACAGCCTCCTTCATCACCACACCTGACTCCCCTCACATTGAGGATGGAGCCAGAGCGCCACTCAAACCTGCCATTGTCATGGAGACACCTGCTGCCAGTGGGTGGGGCTCATTTGACAACATCACACCTGAACTGCCGCAAAATAGGCCCCTCCTCCTGCAAGAGAAAGGGGAGGGGTCAGAGGAGGACCCAGGGACATTTAGGAGGAAGAGGAGGACGACGAGACGGCGAGAAGCTCATAGCCTCCCCCCTAGACTCCTCTTCCCCCCCCTGCAGCCTGGGGGCAGGGCTCTCCTCTTTAAGATGCTCAGAGAGGCTCCTCCCCCTGGGGAGAGGGAGCTGGGAGGGGTTGGAGCCAGAAATCTATTAAAGACTGCGTTTTCTGGAAACAAGAATGAGCAGAAGAAAAAGGGGGGTGGGACTTTACCTGCAGAGAGGGCGAAGGAGAAAACAGCCAGTCAGAGATTCACAGGTGACCATAATAACAACACAGTCAGTGTGATGTCACTGTGATGATGTAATACCTGTACCTTCTTTGTCCAGATGTGAGAGCAGAGGTGTCAGATCTTGATTCATCCACCGTGTTGCAGAGATGTTCCCTGAAGCCCCAAAACAACGTAAGCACTCCGACCAATCAGAGTTCAGCATTATTCCAACCAATCTGAGACCTAAATCATACCCAGACTCACTAAGGGATAAGGATAGGGGTCAGACTAACACCTAGACTGGGTCTCTCACCTGAAGTCTTCTTTTGCAGCTGCGTTTGGAGTTGCTTGACCTGACCAATGAAATTCAGAGGGTTGCCATCGAGGAGGAGGAGAACCAGGAGGTATTACCTGACACACAATGACCAGACTGACTTTAAACTCGACCGACATACCGACTTGTTGAAACTACCTGAGACTTAAATGGACGTAGATTCACGTCTCATCTATCAGTTTGACTGTTTTCTGTCCTCCGTGTTTCTTCTTCCTGCAATCAGCCGCCATACGTTCCTCACGCTCTGGCTTTCAAACGATCATACGCCATCAAGGTACACACACCTGATCCTCTGAGGGTTGTGGTGGTCCAGCAGTTTCACTTCCTGTCCTGATGCTTACGCACTGCTGTTTCAGAGACGCCCCCTAAAAGACAGAGTCCCGCTACAGGACTCTGACGGCCAGTCTTCCTGCCCCACGGAGGTGGTGGGGGTCGTGGTCCAGCCGAAGGAGGCATCCAGTTTGAGCGTGAAGGAAACCATGTTCCAGAGGGAACGTGAGGATGACGACGATGACCTGGACACCAGAATCACGAGACGGGTTCAGAGAGCCGCAAGGAGACAGGCCAAACAGGAAGAACTGAAAAGACTCCACAAGGCCCAGGTGAGGTTACCTGTGTCCAGCTGAGGTTACCTGAGTTCAGGTGAGATTACCTGATGATGCGTTCTGTGTCTTAGATGATCCAGAGGCAGCTGCAGCAGGTGGAAGAGAAACAGAGGCAGCTGGAGGAGAGAGGAGTGATGGTGGAGAAAGCTCTGAGGGGAGAAGCAGGTACTGAAAATACAGGCCAAAGGAATACCTGAACTTACTTGGTTCTACCTGAACTCAGGTGTGCTTCTACTTTAATCTACCTGTGCTTGTGTTTCTGTTAGATTACTGGGGAGAATACAGCCAAAGCGCAGACATGGAGCTTCACCTGGGAGGTCAGTTCACATATCCGGTTACCTGTGGAGTACATATACAGCAGGTATTATGCGGCGCTGAACCCGGTTTTCTGTGTAGGGCTCGGGAAACTGGATAATCCACCGCTGATGCAGCAGTGGTTCCAGCTGGTCCAGCAGAAGAACGCTCTGGTCCGATATGAAGCTGAGCTCATGATCTTGTGAGTATGTGACCTTTGACCTCTCACCTGGGCAGATTCCTGGGGTGTGATGGTTCTGGCTGTGTTTCAGCGCTCGAGAGCTGGAGCTGGAGGACCGGCAGAGTCGCCTGCAGCAGGAGCTCCGAGAGAGGATGGCTGTGGACGGTAACACAGACAAGATCAGAGCTCACCTACTCACCTGTGTGTTTCTGTGTGATGATCACCTGTGTGTGTGTGTGTGTGTGTGTGTGTGTGTGTGTGTGTGTGTGTGTGTGTGTGTGTGTGTGTGCCCACGCGCATGCAGACCACCTGAAGGACGAGGAGCAGCTGGCTGAGGAGCGTCTGATCCTGGAGGAGATGCTGGAGGTGGTTGAGCAGAGAGACTCTCTGGTGTCCCTGCTGGAGGAGCAGAGACTGCAGGAGCGACAGGAAGACAGGGACCTGGAGCAGCTGATGGTGTCCGGAGGACTGGGACTCACCTGGACCTGAGGCGGTCAGACTTTCTGTCTCACCTGTCAGAGGTCTTTAAACCCACCTGGACGCAGGCAGGGATGATATGTTTAAAACTGCAAACTGTCGAGTTGACCTGAGGAGAGTCTGGTTTAGTGCAGGTAAACAGTCCAGGTGGAGAGAAACAATTACATTTATTAACTTTTTAAAACTGATTCATAAAAACTACCCACGAACAGAAACAGGATGTCTTAGTCTGAAATCAGCTGACCTCTAATGTTTCCTTAGAAGTTAGTCATCAGAGCAGCTTGATGGATTAAATCCAGCAGAACCCAAACAGATACAGGATGGTCTGAACTGAACCATCCAATCAGGTGTGATGATGTCATTCACGCCAGAGAAGATGGGAAAAACCTCCACTTTTCTGACTCCAGGAGTTAGTACCGTACTAATGCTAACAGCCTGTATTAGCTATAGTGATGGAACACTGACATGGCTGCTAGCCAATACCATGCTACTGCTACTGCTAACCAGCTACCATAACCCACTGTTGCTACCTGGAGTAAAAGTAAGCTAATCTAAATGAAGATGTGTTTGTGCAGCTTGTCCTGGTGCAGAGTTTAAATATCTCTAACTCCTCGAGAGAGAACACAAAGGTGGACTTCAGCTCTCAGTGCTGAGCTATCTTAAAACTCCATTCTTTCTACTGACAACAGGGGTAAACTCCTCTGATCTGAGCTCTTTCCTGAGGAGTTTACAGTCTCAGATGCTAGTTAATTAATTACATGCTGTGTGTCAAATGTTTGAATACAGTAGAATAGAATAGCCCTTTACTGTCATTGTACATGCACAACAAAATTGTGGAGGCTCCACCCCAGCAGTCAGGAGTAAAATATAAAAACTAGACAGCAAGAGTTCAAGAACTCAAAAGTGGGCTCAATAGGCAGGCAGACTAATAAATCAAATTAATTCTACTAGAAACTGGTTGTCTACAGGAACTGGACCCATTCCTAATATTTTAGATATTAAACCTGATATTAAAACATTTAAAACAGTGTATTTAAATCCTTTGAGGCCGAACCCTCTGGTCTCATATCACTGTTTTTAAAACTCTTTTATAAAGTTTAGGAACTCTTAAAATAAGCTAAGACTCACTAAAGATGTTTGAGCATTTCACAAACTTTAATATTTAATAAAAAAAATGTTTTAAAACATCTGATGAACCATGTGACCCAGCCTCAATGACATTTTTATCTAATTGATTATTGATTGTGCCATCAGATCACCTGTGTGCCTTACCTGCCACCTGATCAATAACATGTGTTCATGCGGCAATGATGGTTATTACTGTAACTCTGTGCTGTGAAATAAACCTCTCATTTCTGACATTCTGGCTCATTTTCTGCTCATTTCTGCTCAGAAATTACATTTTATTATTATGATTAAATACAAACACATTAAGATTTTTTGAGAAGATCGATGAACCATTCCTCCCTTATAACATTTGATTGTTGAACATAAGTTGTGACTCCTCTACAGCTTTGTATTCAATGCACAGTGAGAGAAAGAGCTGGAAGCTTCAGTCACAGAAGAGTAAAAAATAAATCACCTGGCCTGCAGGTGATGCTGGTTGTCCTCCAGCAGGCCTCAGTTTGTAAGTAAGTAAAATTTTATTTGTATAGCACCTTTCAAGATAAAAATCACAAAGTGCTTCACAGAAGCTTAAACATAAAAACAAAAAATTTACCAAAAGAAAGTTTAAAAAGATGAGTTTTTAGCTGTTTTTTAAAAGCGACAAATGAGTCCACAGATCTCAAGCTCAAAGCTGTACACGTAGAGCATCTGAGCCTGTACACTAGTAACAAACAGCTGTTTGGATCACCAGATGTTCCAGTAGTTTGAACTTCCAGTCTGGCAGTTTCTGTGTTTCCAACAGAAACTGAAGACCAGATGTTTAATTCTTCTGAACAGCCTGAAAACCCTCTGACAGCATCCTGTTTCTGCAGATGTCAGAGGTTTCAGTTTAGAAGATTTAAAATATTTTGTCTCTCAGCGGTGCCCCGGCTCTCCTTCCTCCTCTCGAGCATGCTTGTGTAACTATTTCTGTGGCTTCACACTTCCCAACACATGATGGTGAAACGTTTGTCCTGTTAATGCTCCAACTGAAAGAGGAAGTGAATTACAGGCTCTGACCTCTGAATGTTGTCATTCTTTTGTTTCCTTCCTCAAACTGTCTGTTCAGTGGTGTTAGGTAAGCTCTGAGATTTCTATCGCAACACGTGAACCTTCTTCATGTTCGGGTCTGACACTGCAGCTTTACAAACATCAAAGTGGTCATCTGAAGGTAATTACTTTTCAGTGCCAAAAGAATTAAAAGCAGTGAAGACAGCACAGCACTGTGATGGTTATGTTTCCTTTATCTTAAGGTTTCCATCACTGTGAGTTCAGAACAGGTGGCTTTTATACCCAAAGTGAGTCTGGATGTCAGGTAGAGAAGAGTAAACAGAGACTTTTTGGATCTGAATGAACATTTAAATAAGTTAACAAGCTATGTCCTGACGCTTGGAGTGGTCAGAAACAGGACACTTCCTTTTAGAGATTTAATTCAAATATTTGAGGTAATTTTTCATGATATTGAGATACACTGATCACCAGATTAGGTGACCTTAAAAGTATAATTCCAGATGACTGATTTGTTAGCTCTTTGTTCCTGTATGTTCTCTGGCCAGTTACTGCAGGTTTTCTTTTTGCATCAGTGTGAATACTTACTGACACATATCAGTGTGAGGGATGCTAAGCTCAGTGTGAAACACAAATCATCCTCTATGAATGCTTAAAGCAACACTTAAGACCTGCTTTTAAGTATTTCAGACATTTCTGTACCTTTTATGCCTAAAATAATAAAAAAAAAAAACAGCGATTTTCTACTTGTGCAATTAGAATAAAGTGAAAATGTAAACACTGAAACTACAAACAGCACACGATCACACATGACCTGTGTGACCCCAGCTGAGATCTGAATGAACAACAAGAATCCAAAGTTTACTCAGTTTATTTCTTTATAAAATCGTCTTGTTTTTCTGCTGAAGACGAAATATTTGAAAGGAATAAAAAGGAAAAAGAGGATTCAATTAAACTTTCATCAGAGAGAACCAGCCAAGAAATAACAGCTGTGATATAATATTGCTTTGGCGCTGAAGTTGATCGGTACTGGTCTCTGACTGGTTCTGGACTCGTTTCTGCTGTTACTGACTGGCGGCGTTGCTGACGTCCACCTTCAGGTCCTTCGAGACGAGTCCGGAGGTGACCGGGTGCATCCCCGCTCGATGAGCCAGAAACACTCGAAGAGCTTCATCACGAAACTTCTCAAAATTAAACACCTCCCTGAAGATGAAGCACAGCCACAATGATTAAAACAGCAGAAACACAGTAAGAGAATCAGTGCTGCCTCCTAGCAGACACACCTCGGGTATCAATTTCAAAACCCTACATCACCGTGTTCTCAAGTTATCAGATTAACACGATTTTCAGAAAACTTGCTCTGACCTTGAGATTGAGGTCAGTCAGATTCAAACTTATCCAAGATTTTTAGTAGAAACTTATGGTCCAATTTGAAAACCCTAAATAACCTTCTTCAGTTATTGCACTGCAAGAGTTTTAGAAAACTTGACCTCTGACCTTGGCAATAAGGTCAAGGTCAGTCAGCTTGATCTCGTCTGAGAATTTTAGTAGATACAGCTATGGGACCGACTTGAAACTCTTATGTCATCTTGTTCTCGAGTTATCACACTCACAAACTTAGGTGTTCATGCCACGTCCCCGGGAGGGTGACGATAATACCTCATAAGTCTTTAAAGTGGAAGGGTAAAAATGGTAAAGGCACAGTAAAAACACAGAAGAAACAATAGAACAAACGGTAAAAACAAACATGAAGGTCAGTGATGTGGAGTTTTGTTCTAGTGAAACTACTGTTGAAGTGTAAGGACCTGAAGAGTGGTCGTGTAAACTTCATCCTGCCCTGGTCGGTCGCCATCTTCAGCGCTAGTGGAACCGCTTCCTCCCACCTGGACCTGACGCACAGCCTCAGCCACCTGGAGGGAGCACAGCCAATCACCAAGAGGCTTTAAGGAGGGGAAGGTTTTAAAATGAAAGTCCCATTTATACCTGCTGAAAGACTCACCTGAAGCGGATCTCTGCATTCATATAGGCGTTGAGATCGTAAATCTCCTGCATCTTCTTAACGTGAGTCAGAGGGAGCGGATCCTGAAGGAAGGAACAGGTGAGTGAACGGAAGTGGACTGTAGGGAGTTAATGTGGAGTGTGGTTACCTCTTGCAGTAGCAGTGACAGGAACTCGATGACCTGGTGGGATGACAGAGTCTTCACATCGGACCGCTTGAAGCTGTTCAGGTCCTGGTCTTTAGCCTGAACGGGGACAGAGGATGGAGCTTTGAGCCTGAACATAAAATCACTCAAGAGTCCTCACCAGATTCAGGTCTCACCTGGAGCCACTTCTGACTGAGAGCGTTGCAGGCGTCAGCCATCGTGGTATCGTATCTGAAACAACAGCCAATCAGGACAAAGGAATCAGATTGTTTTTAGAAATCAGAGACCAGATGGAAGTCTGAGTACTTACTGAGGTTTAACAGGAGGCATCCCAGGTGTGAACATCCAGGCGTTCCAGTCCACCTTGTTCAGGATGTCCACCTGAGACACAAAAACTCATCTCAAGGCTCCATCTTGACCTTTGAACCCACCTATCTATCACATCTGGAGTTTCTGCCTGATCACCATGTAAATATTTGTCTTTTCTTGTAACAATCTGACCTCTGACCAAAACCTGCCAAGCTGATGTTCCTTCCCTCCAGTCACTGTAACTCTGCCTGAGTGTCCAGTTGTTCCTCACCTTGTCCTTGAAGTAGGCAAACAGGTAGTTTTTCCACTCCTCTGTGGTGACGCTGCTGTAGGCAAACCGCTGGATGTACGACTTCACAAAGCCCATGAACACCTCTGAGCAAAACAGATCAACAGGTGTGTCAGCAACTGAACAGGAAAGAGGTGAGTGTGCAGGAGTGTGCAGGTGTTACCTGGCCCTCCCAGCTGCTCCTCCAGGTAATACAGCAGAGCAAAGCCCTTCTCGTACGGCACGGAGGAGAAGGCATCGTCAGGACTGACGTCTTGCAGGCTGGGCACCAGGTTGGTCAGAGGGTTGTTGGCTCCAAAGGTGTTCACCTGAGATATGATGAGCACAGGTGAGTGGAAGGAAAACGTGCCTCATGTCAGACTGTGGATGTGACACAGGTGAAGGTGTATAATGTTTGAGTTCTCACCGAGTCCTGCAGGTCCTTCCAGCCTCCGATGGCTTTGAACTGCCTGAACTGTTCGCTCTCCAGACACCTGCCGATCATCCTCTCCAGGTAGACCGTGTGACCCTCGTTCAGCCTGAAGGTACAAACATGCTGACGTCAAATAATGACGTAATAATAAGCATCTTGTTGGAGCCGACAGTGGAAAATGCAATGTCTTTGTTGCCTAGGTAATCCTTTACAGTACTTCCCACCACTTTGTGTGTCAATCAGCTGTAACAGTTGTCTGAATTTTTCCTTGTGAAAACCAAAGTAAATCAAAGATTTTCAAAAGGACGGTCTCAGCGAGCTGACGGGTCAGCCAATACGTTGCATCACCTGACCCTCAAACGCTGGTATTTCTTAATGATTTCTGCTTTTGTGAAGTCGAACCCTGGATGATTTTCGTTCAGCTAACCTCAGAGTGAATCTTTCCAGATAAACCAACCCCACCATGAGTTGATCCCATTTCAGAGAACCCATAAGTTCCACAAAGTGTCTGTCCCAAAGCTGTGACTTCACTCTGAAAACCTACACAGTGCCTGGACACCTGAGCAAATGTGGGCCTGTTCTGTTGCATCGGGTTTTGTGACTTAGAGCATGTCTCAAAACTGGTTTTAAGATTTTATCTTCTGAGGCGTCCATGGGTTCTCTACACGTCTCTGCAAACACCTGAGACCCTTGAGTTGAGCTCCACCTGTTTGTTTGTTTACCAGAAATGCTCCCAGGTCTTGTTGGTCACCAGGTTTCCAGTCCAACTGTGAGAGATCTCGTGGGCAATCACCTGTAGGACACATGCACAGTCACAGACAGGAATGGAAGGTAATTTAATTATAATGCATGATCACATGGTGAGGTGGGAAGAGTCTTGTACTCACACCAGACAGAGATTTGTCTCCAGCCTGAAAACAGACAGGAAATAGCTGATCAGAACTAACAGTCTCATGACACTGACACATCATGAACAACCCGATTGGCCCCCTGTTTGTACGTACCAGCAAGGTGGGCGTGGCAAAGGTCAGACATGGGTTCTCCATGCCGCCGTAGGGGAAAGATGGAGGGAGAACCAGGACGTCATACTGACCCCAAACATACGGTCCAGCCAGTTCCTCAGCTGTCTTCAGCATGGCTTCGGTCTGAAAGACAAGGAACACCCGAACATCACTCCAGCTTCTCTATGTCCTGCATGTTCTACATTTTTTTTGTGTTCTCATGTTGTACATGTTTGTATGTTTTACATGTTCTCATATTTTCATGTTTGTATGTTCTCATGTTCTGTGTGTCTTCTTTCCATTGTTTGCGTGGCCTCAGTGTGTCTGTGGTTCTCACCTCAGAGAACTCAAACGCTGCTTTGTCCACAAACTCTTTCTCCGACCAGACTCTGGTCCTTGGCCCGATCTCCCTGCCAACCAATCAGAGCACAGAGTTAAGTTTACCTGCTGAAGCTGACGCTGTGACATCAGAAGAGGTAAGACAATCTGTACCTGCTTTCCAGAGCTCCAGCCACAATGGCTATCAGGTAGGAAGGCATAGGCACCTGAGATCAGAGGTCAAACAGAGGACAGTCACGCCTGAGGCCTGGTGATGATGATGTCAGGTGATGAAGAGAAGAAAGAGACTCCCCCTACCGTCTGCCTGAACCTGTAGATGATCCGACCACTATCCTGAGGATCGACTTCCTGTCCATCTCTCACTGCACTCATCACCGCCACCAGGTCCTTAGGGACAGACACCTGAGGGACAGGTACCCACACACATACATACAAGTACACACCTGAGAGACTAATATCAGGCTCTGGGCACTGAGGTGATGCTATGAATGTTGTTCAGGTGGTTTTTTTTTTAACAATTATTAATAATTTTAATAATCAATAATATGTCAGTGGTGTTTGTTTACCTGAGCATAGTAGGTGTGCTTGATGGATGGGGTGTCCTGACAGGGGATCATGCTCCTGCAGTGATGAGCCTGTAAGACAGCACAGAGGGCACCAAGGCTATTAGCTGCATGTTGTGTTCAGGGGTGGTCTGTACAGAGGACGCTCTGCAGCAGACTGAGGCTTTAAACTTTACAAAGCAGTGAAATCAGTTTGAAGAAGGTAGAAAACGAGAATAACAGGGAAGTAGTTTGTTAATGGTTGCAGTTTCACAAAGTTTCAACAGTTCACAGAAAAACCACAAAAAGTGGAACTTTTCTTTCTGTTGAAGGTTTTCGTATGCAGCGTTTCAGGTGTAATCAACAAAAAATATGTTTACAGTAAACTTCAGTTTAAAACTTTTATTTTAACCTTTTATAACTTAAAAAAGGTTTACAAAAGAGAAAAAAATCTAGAATTTCTCTGAATTCAAATTTAAACATGAAATTTTTAATCATTTATATTGGATATAGCTCAGGTGAGGGTAAATGGCTCACCTGGCACTGGCTGAACAGGTAGGGGTGCTTTTTCCCGGCAGTTTGCTCAGGCGTGAGCCACTGCAGTGCTGTTGCTGATGGAGACGTCTCATAGGTCACCTCCACGATCACATGTTGCCCTCTGATTGGACAGCAGACATTAGAATTTAATTAGAAAAGACAGGCCATAAGGACAGAGAGAGTGGAGGGCGGAGTCACCTGGAGAGGTCAAAGGGCAGCGTGATCTCCAATGGGGTCCCCTTGAAGCTGTGTTTGGGCCCTAGGCTGAAGCGCGCCGGCTGCCCATTGGCCGTCACCGACACCACGCTCAGGTCACTGCTGTCCAAAGTCTGTGGTACAGAAAACCCCAGTTACCGAGCTGCTGTGTCAGCACCTGAACCTGCTGATAAATATTCACCTGTCCTACCTGCACAAAGGTCACCTTACACACTCTGTCTTAAAGCTGAGCCACGTCACACCAGAGTCCATTCAAAGAAAACCTTATTTTACTTGTGTGTCTATCTGTCTGCCTTATGGACAGGTGAGGGTTAACCTCTTAAGCAACCATGCACCCAAAGATGGGTGCAAAAGGGAGGGGATTACGGAGGTAGAAAGACAGAAAACCACTGGGGGCTTAATGTTACATTTACCTTTCTACAGGCGACCGTCTTGCAGCTGCAGAATCAAACCTGAGCTTTGAAAACTGTTAAAAACAAATAAGTGAAAAGTCTGCTCTCCTGCACACCTGTTTTACTAAACTTCAGTCTACGGCTTCAGCTGACTGGTGTCACGCCAAACTCCATCCAGAAAAGAGCCATTTTAAGTTTTTATGCTCTGAATATATTTACAGAACTGATTCAAAATTTGAAATCTCACACTCACAGGTGAGAGTCGATGGTGAAGTAACAAAGCACAAGAATAACCACAGACAGTGAACTGAACCACAGATTCCAGTAGGGGTGCAGGCTCCTGTGGAATTTAACAAACTTAGCCTGGACACACCTGTTCTATCTGAAAGATACTCACCTGTCACAGTTTTTCCAAAACAACGGGTTAAAGTTAACGAGTTTGTTTTAATAAAGCAGTTATTAAACCCGATCAGTCCCGAAGCTCGAGGATGTCACACAGCGTCACAATTTAAATGCGACGTGAATAAAGATCAATAATTAAGTAAAAATGTAAGTAAAAATGATTTATATCACAGTTAGAGTTTTAAAGATCGTAAATATGTGAAGCTTCAGTTTGTGAAATCACGTTTTAAAACTTTAAAACAGTAAGGTTAGTTTATTAAAGCTGAGTGACAAACTGTTTTTATAAGTCTGTAAAAACGCCTTAACACCAGACTCCGTTTAAAAACAGCTGGAATTAAGGTACCGGTACTCCCCGAGGTTAAAGTTAATCATCAGGCACACCTTAACGCTTGCACGGTGCCGGATCACAGAGGAACACCCGAGGAACCGTCAGTGTGACCCGGCTCGTTACTTCTTCGTGCTCGCCTCTAAGCACGCACTCCCCTTAAATCCAGCGGATTTTAGTTGGACTCTGGTGAGCACTAAAGGTTCAGTTAGATCGAGGCTAACCCCCCGCGTCCCGTTGACGTTACCAGCGTAGAGAATCGGTCCTCCAGCGCCTCCACAGTCAGCGCCACCCTCCCTCTGATTACGTGCCTGTCGAAGTCCAGGTGCAGGTGCAGGTTCAGGTGCTTGGTGACGCACCTGGTGAACGAGGAGAAGGAGCACGGGTCAGACATGACGTTCAGTCCGGTTACAGCTGAGAGACTGGAGAGCCGAGCTGAGCGCGGCCGGTAATCTACCGGAACACGCTGCGCACGCATCCGGACCGGCCTTTTCACAATAAAAGTCCAAGACCGAGGCGACGTGCCTTTGTATGTACAGTGTTACATAATAACAAACTGTGCAGTGTTAAATAAAAAAATGTTTTTTTCCAGCTTTGTTTTGTTTTTCAATGTGAATCATTTAACTTGGATGGGTGACATATACTTTCAAATATGTCAAAGTAAATCGGTATAGTTTTCAAAAAATGATTGATACTGATTGATCAACCAGTTGCACCGATTGTTACTTCGGTTACAGAAAGCAGTGATTTGTTCATAATAAGAGATCAAACTTGTGTGGATGTATTTGTTGGGGTAACAGGCAGTAAAAATCAGTAGAAACTAGTAAAATAAATAAATAAAAGCCGGCAGCCTTTGATTTTCTCCAGCAGCGGTGTGTGTGGGTTCATTCTCTCTTGTCCAACAGGGGGAGCTCTCTCCGGCTTCTGCCCGCTGATGGTGATGGAGGCTCGGATGGTGATGCGCAGAGCTGCTGCCGTTTTGGTCCGGTCGTGATGGACCCATTTGACGGTCCCGGTTCTCCCCGACACGAGAAGCAGGAGGAGGCGGGGCGCGCGGAAAGCCGCAGCCGGTGGGCCCGCTTCTCCTCCTGGTTGGAGTGCGCGTGCGTCGTTACGTTCGACTTGGAGCTCGGACAAGCAATTGAGGTACGTTAGCCTGGCATCGCTAGCATAGCTAGTGATCGATATGATGAATGATCACTGATGATCGGAGGTTTGATGAGTAATTTCAGTTGAAAAACAGCCGCTCCTCTGTCTGTACCAAACTCCATTTAAACCCCCCGAATTCTTTGTTCACATGTGACCTGTGGAGAAACGCACCTGAACAGGTAAACACTAACCAGGCTGAAAACATTCTCGTCCCTTCAGCTTTCATTCAATCAGCGTAAAAATCTGACCCCTCAGTGTTCGCCTTGTCCTGCCTGTACCTGGTGTTGCTCCGTTTATGGTGGAGGTAAATAAAGATGAATGCTGTGTTAAAATGTGAATACTCTGTAAAGGACAGGTGGTAATGACTGAGACACTGAATGGAGGAGACAGTTAAGGATCCGTGGAAGGCAGCAGAAGTAAAATCAGCAGGATTCTGGGTTTGGTGGTGGGACTCAAGGAGTTGTGTCTGTGGATTAAAGACAGCTATGTTGGCCTAGAAGCACCAATCCGTGTTTTTAAAAAACGCATTGTTTTCTCATTATTATTCTGATAGATTTTGTAATATAATACAAATAATAACAATATCAGACTGCTCTTGAGCTCATCATAGAACCAATCGATTACGGTACCTGAAGTGTTTCAAATATTATAGACTATACTTTTTGTGCAACTGCTTATCAGAAGATTGTGGATAACGAAGGGTGATATGCAAGTTAAATTAATCCTCTCTTGCTATCTCAGATCGGAAAAACTTAAACGTCAGAATTTTCTGCAGATTCTAAAATATTTTCCCCTGTGTTTACTTTCAGCTGGTTTATCCTCAAGATGTGAAGCTGACAGAGAAAGAGGTAAATATCTTCAGCTTCCTGATCACCTGTAAGTGTTGTTGATTACACTTTCACTGATTCTGTTTCGTGTTGACAGAAAACCAGTATCTGCTACCTGTCCTTCCCCGACTCGTACTCAGGTAAGCTGAGGTAATGCTAATTAATACTGCAGGTGTCAGAGGTTGGAGGTCAGAGGTCACGTGGGCTGTCTGTTATTTCCCAGGGTGCCTTGGGGACACTCAGTTTAGCTTCCGCTTCCGTCAGTCTGTCGGTCGCCGAACATCAAGGCTCAGAGACGACCTTTACAACCGTGACGCTCCCGTCACACTGCAGGTGAGACTCACCTGGTTCCTGAATGGCTGATTGCTTCAGCCTCACAGGTGCGTAACATTTCTGTTCTGTCTGTCAGAGAGAAACGGCGCATTTCTTCGGTTACGTCTACTTCAGACAAGTGAAGGACGTCTCTGTGAAGAGGGGCTACTTCCAGAAGGTCACCAAACACATCTGTGTTCACCTGTATTCACCTGCTCACAGGTGGTCATGATGGTGATGGTCATTTGACTCTGTGTTTCAGTCCCTGGTGCTGGTGTCAAGGTTGCCATACACTCACCTGTTCCACTCGCTGATGCAGACCATTGCACCTGAGTTCTTTGAGAAGCATGAGCCCTGCCTTGAAGCAGGTAATCACATCATGCTTGGATCATATCTGGGAGGCAATCAGGTTTCAGAATGGCCCTTAACGTGTTTTTCCTCTGCTCATCCCCGTAGTTTGTAACGAGATCGACCAATGGCCTTCACCTATACCTGGACAGACCCTCAACCTGCCCGTAATGGGCGTTATCTTACAGGTGAGGAGAGAAGTGGCCTGGCTCACAGGTGACAGAAGGGATGTGGTTTACAGGTGTTTGTGTGTCTCATGTTTCAGGTGAGGATTCCTTCTAAATTCGACAAACCTGGGGGAAGTCCGGTGCGACAGACGGCTAAAGAGGTGAGGTCTTGTTGCTTTGATCTTGTTAATAATGTTTATTCTTGTTGTTGTTGTTGTTGTTTTTAATAAAGTTTTTTGTATGCATGCTCAGAACCTGCTGCCGGTGCCGACCCTCCTGCCCACCATCCACGAGCTGGACCTGTTTAAGTCAGTACTCGTTAAGGTGTTCTATGTTTCTCAAGTGTAGGTGTGCTCTCTGATTGGTTAATCTCAGTCTCACCTGTGTCCTGCTCAGGTGTTTCCAGTCCATTCTAATCCACCTGCAGATGCTCTGGGAACTTACCTTGCTCGGGGAGCCGCTTGTCGTTATGGCTCCATCTCCCACCGTTTCTTCGGAAACAGTCCTGGCTCTCATCAGGTAACTGAGGGGTCACAACGAGCCCCCAGCATCCAATCAGAGTATGGTGTTTCTGTTGTTACCATGATAACGGTGTGTGTCCACAGCTCCATCAGCCCTCTGAAGTTCTGCTGCGACTTCCGACCCTATTTCACCATCCATGACAGCGAGTTCAGGGAGTACACCACCAGGACGCAGGCGCCGTGAGTCATGCTCACCTGGAGCCTGAACACACCTGTGCTGTAAACACACCCTTGGGACACTTAAAGCCTAAGTTTAGGAAAGCGGTCGACAGATGTTCCAGCCTCACGTGTGATTACCTGTTTCTTCTTCTCTTGTTCAGACCAAGCGTCGTGCTGGGCGTCACCAACCCGTTCTTCATCAAGACGTTTCAGAGCTGGCCTCACATCGTCCGGCTGGGAGAGGTCAAGATGGCAGGTATGCCGTATTCCTTCTCTTCCTGCGTGTTCACTGTGAGCTTCCTGTCCCTGTGAAGTGCCATGGCTGTCAGGCGTGTGCTGTTCAGATCGTCTTCACCGTTCTTGTTGTGACCTTTTTAATCACGTATGCGTGCTGTCTCTGATGTCTTCCAGGTGATTTACCGAAGCAGGTGAAGGTGAAGAAACTTTCTAAGCTGAAAACGCTTGACACCAAACCAGGTAAGCCGGTGGGGACGTGTTTGTACCTGAGCTCAGGTAGATGTCTGTCATGCTGAAGGTTTGTTTTGGCAGGAATCTACACGGCTTACAAGACGTTTCTGCACAAGGACAAGATCCTGATCAAGAGGCTGCTGAAGGTGAGCACACCTGAGCACACCGCACACACAGGTAATGCAGAGTGTCGCTGACTGACTGTTTACCTGCAGGGGATCCAAAGGAAGCGGCCGTCGGAGGTGCAGAGCGCCATCCTGAGGCGACACCTGTTGGAGCTCACACAGAGTTTCATTATCCCCCTGGTAAGTAGTTGCGCAATCAGCTCGCATTGCCTGTACTTTATGATGTAAGCATAACTTGTCCAATCACAGAGCAGTTCTCAGTAAGCAGCGTGTTTTGTCTAATAGGAACGCTACATGGCGAGTCTGATGCCTCTGCAGAGATCCGTTACACCCTGGAAGGTAAACAGGAAATGAGTGGTGGTGATGAGGTCGCAGTGCTGTCTTGTGTTACACATTTCCTGTGTTTCCGTTCAGACTCCGCCTCAGATCCGCCCCTTCAGTCAGGACGAGTTCCTGTCCACATTGGACCATGCGGGCCCGCAGCTCACCTCTCTGCTTAGAGGTGATTGGATAGGACTGTACAGGTGAGCCTCACGGGTGTGAGTGATCCAGGTGTTTTCTGTCTTCCTGTCTTTAAGTTTCTACTTCCTGTTTCCATCTCAGGAAGTTCTTCAGGTCTCCAAACTTTGACGGCTGGTACCGTCACCGCCACCGAGAGATGACACAGAAGCTAGAGAGTCTCCACCTGGAGGTCATCTGCGATGCGGTAAGTTATCTGAGCGAAAATGCTCGACCATCAGCCAGCTGTGCAGCCCCTAATCCAGGTGTGTCCTCTGCAGGACCTGCTGGGATGGACCAAAGACAAGTCTGAGGTGGAGGTTGTGGATCTGATTCTGAAGCTCAGAGAGAAGCTGGTGAGTTCCAACAGGAAGTTTGTTAGACAGGAAAAAAGTGTCATGTAAAATTGTGTTACCGATAAAAAGCTTAGGATAAAAATTAATTTGAAGAAGTAAAACTTAAAGTGAAAAAGATTTTGGTTACCTGAGAGTTAAATCAAAAGTGAGATGGTTTGATAGTTTGAAGCTGGACTTGACAATGCGTTCACTGACCATGGACGCTAAAGCGTTCACTAACGCTGGGACGTCTGCCTGTAATAAAAGTTCATGTTTGGGGTAAAATCCATCATATTTGTGATGGAGATGATGCTGTCCTGGGCCACAGAGGAGACTGGGGGGAAAAATATTTTCTGGTTTCTTGTTTTAAAGCTTAGAGATGAAACTTTGTTATGAAAATGAAGCTATGATAATAATTCAGGATCCTTATCTGGGTTTAATCCAAAGTGAGGTGGTGACCTGCAACTAGGATCGTTTGCTTCTTCTTTGTTGGTTTCATGTCAAAAGTCTAGTTTTTGAGGACAGGAAGTGTGTGTGGCTTTTCAGATTAAAGCTCGGCGTCAGCAGCTGCAGCTCAGAGACGGTGTGATGGACAAACTCGACTCTTTCATCGCCTCCATCATCAGCTCGCTGCCTGCCGACCTGCAGATTGTGCTCAGCACAGGCGCGTCACCGTGACGACAGCTAACCCCACAGCCAGGACGCACGCTTGTGTTCATCAGCATCTTCACACTCCACAGAAAAACCAACATCGGCTCAAATCTTCAGTTTTTGGAATATTTAAATTTTATTTAAACTTTATTACCTGTCTCCATCGAGCTGCTGCTCTGATGTTTTGGTTTCTCTGACGGTGGAATCAGGCTGTTCGTGTTTCACAGAAGTCGTATTTTTCTATCATCTCCACAAACGGAATGTAACACTAAGAATGAAGCTCCACTTTCTGTTTGTTTGTAAACCTTTATTTTGAAATTAAAGTCTGAGCACTTCCTGTCCTCTGACTTTTATTCATGTTTGTTTTATTTTAATGTCCTCCAGGATTCAGACTGAACAGAAAGGCTTTAAGTTTCCTCTCATGTCATGGTGAAATGTAACTTCGTGTGGTCTGACGGCGTCATCATAAGCCTTTGATCTTCATGCTGCTGCTCTTTAATGCTTCAGTTTCAGACCTCGAGAAGGAAACCTCCTGATTCTTTCTCTTTCCTTATTTATTTTATATAAAAATAATTAAGGCTCCACATCTGAACGTCTGAGTGAAGATCAGTGCAAACACATTTATGAACATTTCTGTCTTTGTTCTGTGCACCTGAAGGCAGTGTTTGTAGATGTGGACAGATGTTAGAGAAGCTCAGTGGTGAAGTATTTGATCAGTGTGACATGTGTATGTCTGTCAGAAACGTGAAATAAAACAAAGCTTCAGGCTTCAAAAACACCTGTACCTGTAATCTGACATAGGTGTGTTCACTGTTCCTCACAAATCAACTTTTTCCATCGTGTACAGTTTGCACTCTACCTGTTAAGTGAATTTAGCTTCACCTTTTCAGACCAGAGCCCATCAGAGGCTGGTAAAAGCAGGAACTGCAGCTGTAGACAGGTGATCTCACCTGAAGAGGCTGGACCAGGCAAATCGTATTTAGAGTTGTGTCATCATCAAGGCACTTCAGTGACGCTCAGACACAGATTGAAGCAGGAAAAATATTTTAATCTGAATCAAAAATATACATCAGCTGATTGACCAGCGAAGGTCACATGTTAACGTGTTTGTAGTGTTTGAAGTCACAAGACACTCAGAGAGCAGCAAACCGTCAGAGAAACACCAGGAAGATGAAAAACACAATGCCCTCAAGCGCAGCACAAAGCCATGCCTTCAATGGCTCAGATGTCCAGGTGTTCTTCCTGCAGGTGAGTGTTTTCTTCTTCAGGTGCTCTACCTGCGTCCCACCCACCAGGTGCTGCCCTGCAGCCTCGTGACATCCTGCTTCTCCTGTGGGCTGAAATGCAGGATGGTGAGGATGGCAGTGAGCGTCTGCTGGCGCCCGTTGGCGTCCTGCAGCGTCAGAAACCGGTACACAATGTTCTTCAGGTACTCCATGTTGGCGCCCTCGCGGCTTTGGTCCCGGATCAGTTTTTCGAGGCGGTCCCGCAGGGCTGCCACCTCCTCATCATGGCGCTCGGCGTTTGCAATGAGTTGTGCCTGCAGCTGGCGTGTGTCCTCCTCCAGCCGGTTCTTCTGCCGCCGCAGTGCACCCACCTCCACCTCCTTACGTGCGAGCTGCTCAGCATACAGCAGCAGTGTTGACTCATTGGGTGTGGCCTGCCGCAGTGCCTGGCTGATCGCGTCGGTCTCTGTGTCAGGGCCATTCTCTTTAGGGTCAGCGGGTGTGTTATGAGCACGATTGGACCAGCTGAGTGTGGCGGCAGCGGCCCGCAGCCTCTCCAGCTCGCGGTCCTTCTCATCCAGCAACGCCATAGTGCGCTCACGCTGCTTGTGAAGCTCCGCCTCCAGTTGCAACAGTTCGTCACGGTGGAGTGCCTCCAGACGCTCCGCCTCCTGCCGGTGTGCCTGCTGCAGCGACACCGCCTGCTGCTGGCGCTCATCAAGCTGCTGGCGGTGGCAGACCTCGGCCTCGTCACTCTGCATGCGGAGGTTTATGTACTTCTCACGCAGCTCAGCAAGCTGGTCGCGCACTTCCTCCAGCTCCCGTGCCTGGCAGCCATCTTTGGCGTTCTTGTTCTTCAGAACCACTTGCGCTCGCACCTTGTAGCGCTCAAACTCATCCCTGAGCTGCCGCAGCTCCTGCTGATAGGCGAGAGCCGCCGCCGCCGCATCTGCACCCGGCTCCACTTCCAGGTCCTGGATGTTCTGGTCGGGGTTCCTCTGAGCCGCAAGGAGCAGCAACTTCTTCACCTTCTGCAGCTTCTCCCGCAGCGCCCCCACGTCCAGTTGCTCGTCTGGCCCGAGGTCAGAGGTCGCCCTACTCGAGGCGGCGATGGCGAGTGTTTTGTTCTCCGTGTCAAGCTGCAGCACACGATCACGGAGTCTCTGCGCTGCCTGCTGGTCACGCTGCCTCGCCTTCTCACACGAGCCCAGCAGCTCCGACAGCTCCGATACACGCTGCTCCAGGACCGCCACCCGAGCCTCTGCCGACTGAGCACGCTCACGAGCGCGCTCTTCTGCATCGCACACCTGCAACACGAACACAGAGATGACCTCACTTCCTGTTCTAGTTTACCTGGTCTGTTAGAGCTTAAACTGTTTAATGTGGTTAAACCAGGTTCACTGGGACCTGTTTGATTGGGACTTTGTTTGGACCTGGTTCTGGGCTCACCTTGCGGGTCTCGAGCTGGACCTGCTCCTGGACCTGGTTCTTCAGCTTGTTCAATTCTTGCTGCAGCTCGTCCACTCTGGGGTCGGGTATTCGTTGCTCCTCCTCGACAGCCTGCAGCCTCCGCCTCAGCTCGTCTCTCTCTTCCTTGACTTGGTGCAGGAGAGCCTCGGACTCCGTCCCCCGGTCCACGGCCTGTGATGTTACAAGCAGGGCGGTGCTGGCATCCTGGAGGTGGAGCTCAGCGTCCTGCCGGAGGTCTCGCTCGGCCTGCAGGAGCCTCTGTAGCTCGCGGAGCTGCTGAGCGTGGTCCCCCTGCTCCTGCTCGCGCTCGTGCTGCTGCGTAATGATGCGAGCGCGACTTTCAGCAAGCTGCTGCTGCAGGTTGTGCAGTTCCGCCTCGTGCTGTGTTGTCACGGAGACCAGATGTTCCTGCAGCTCTTCAACTTCCTGTTTCAGCTGCCGCTTGTCAGCCTGGAAGCTTGCTTCCATTCGCGACTTCTCCTGTGTCACCGTGGCCAGCGAGCTTGTGAGCGTGCTCAGTTGGCTCTTCAACTGGGCGACTCTGCGGTCTGCCTCCATGCTGGGAGGGGGTGTAGCCTGCTGCTGCTCTGTCCCCACGCTGCCACTCTCAGAGCTGCCATCGGGTTCAGATCCCTGCAGAACAAACATGGAGTCAGAGAATAAGACATGACATCATCAGAGCATTATGGCGATGGTAAGTTCAGTTGTCAAAGGAACATACCACCAGCCTTCCTCCCAGTTCTGCCTGGTCCTCCTCGCTCTGGTCGCCTCTCGTAGTCTCACTGGCCATGTCCAGAGACGCCGCTGTGTCCACGCTGTCCTCGCTGTGCAGCGAGCAGCCATCCTCGGTAAGCTCCTGTGTTGCGATGGTCGAACCCTTCTGGGTCAGGTCCAGGTCCTGGGTCACGCTTAGAACCTTAAGGCTGGCCTCCAGTGCCTCTTTCTCCTTCAGGAGGCTCTTGTAGGCCCGGACCACATCCCTAAAGCGGGTCTGGTACTGGATCAGCTGCTTCTTCTGGGACTCCACCGTGTCCAGCAGCTCCTTCCTGCTCGGACCGCCACCAAAGCTCATCCCGAACTTCTCCATGACCTCGTCCAGGTCTGACCAGGTCTGTCCAGGTGAGCCTCTGATCACAGACACCAGAACATGAACAGAACCTTAGCATTGACTTCCTGTTAGAGGGGAAACGGAGAACAGCTGTTCAGAACACTCATCGATCAATTATCGATGGATGGTTTCTGCGAAGCTGAAACTTTGTGCTGGAACACAAAAGAAGAAGGAGGAGGAAAACAGTTTCTCACCTCTTTCTGTTTCTCCCTTTGATTGATTTTTCCGCCGCTTTGATCGTCTCTCCTCACACTGCGCCGACAAACCGGTTCGATCCGGATCACAAACTCACAACCTGTCCGTCACAGTTGGTCAATAATCGACCTAATCGATGAGTAAAATCCGACTCAAAGCTTCATCTGTCAACAGCCGCCATGTTGGACCGAACCGGAAGGGACTGAGACGGAGGAGGCGGGAGTTTACTACTTTGTTCACGGACGTCAGGAAAATGCAAAATAGGATGATTTTTTTTTTTTTAGCTGATTTAAATTAAAAACTAACTGATTTAAATTAAATAAACAGCCAAACACAACCAATAAAGCAGATATATATATTTACCATTAATATGTTTAACATTTCTGAAAGCAATACAGTATTTTGAATTGATTGTTTATTGGGAGAAAACATTTTTTTCTTATTTTGTACAAATTTTAGAAATGAACTATGATTAACAAAAAAAAACAAAATAATAGATTAAAAATAATCTTATTAGAACTTAATTTTAACTTTGTTGGTTGATCATTGATTGAAAATATTTTCATGATTCTGTGTATTAAATTCTGCTCCTCCGTTCTTCAATAGAAAATGCTTTATTATTCTACACACATATATGTTTTTAGCACTGTCACACAATCAGTACGTGTGTATTTCACTTTGTTATGTTCTGTTGTATAATGACGTGACCATAGTGACATATATACATATAAATTAAACGTATTAATATAAATGGCTGTCCCGGAGCCGAAAGTGTTCCTCGCAGCTCATGAACTTCACTTCATGCGCAGAGCTCGAATGTACGGTGTTTGAGCGAACAGTGAACGCCGCGGTGTTTGCTATGCTGTTAATAAAGTTTTTTTTAAGCGCAGCAGTGACGTCATTTGTTCCGCGTTGGCCTGGACGTGGCACCGAGAGGAGCTGCGCCCTCAGTTCGCTCTGCTCCGCGCCTTCTCGGCTCCATTCCGCTGCTGCTCCCGGATCTCCGGCTCTACCCGCCGTCAGTGTGTGACCTGCCACCTCCTCCTCTCCGCAGCCATGGGCCTCACAATCTCGTCGCTGTTCTCCAGACTGTTCGGGAAGAAACAGATGAGGATCCTGATGGGTAAGCGGGGGCTAGGCTAACGAGCTAACCGGCCGGGCTCCGGGGCGGCTGCAAGCGGCTCCGCGGGCTCACCAGCACCACACACCGACTCATTTTTACCAGGAACCCGCTCGCCGAGTCCTGCGGACCGCGGGCCCGATCTTCCCGTGCAGGGAGAAGCAAAAGTCCGGCTCGGAGAAGCAAGACGCTGTTAGCTCGGAGCTAACGGAAGGAAGCAGG